TGCACTTGGCGGCAAAAACGGCCGAAATCGTGGGCGCCGAACTTTTTTTCGCGCAAGAACCAAACTAAAAATGCTCTAATATGTGTATTTGAACATGGGCCACTCGAATATGCAGTAAATTTCAGGTTTTTGAATGCTTTTCCCTACGCCTATAGGGATTCATGCGCTTTCTAGGTATTTGGCGGCAAAAACGGCCGAAATCGTGGGCGCCGAACTTTTCTTCGCGCAAGAACCAAGCTGAAAAGGCTCTAGTATGTGTATTTGAACATGGGCCACTCGAATATGCAATAAAATTCAGGTTGTTGAATGCTTTTCCCTACGCCTATAGGGATTCACGCGCTTTCTAGGCAGTTGGCGGCAAAAACGGCCGAAATCGTGGGCGCCGAACTTTTCTTCCCGCAAGAACCAAGCCGAAAAGGCTCTAGTATGTGTATTTGAATATGGGCCACTATAACATGCAATAAAATTTAGGTTGTTGAATGCTTTTCCCTACGCCTATAGGGATTCACGCGCTAATTTTGCACTTGGCGCCAAAACAGCCGAAATCGTAGGCGCCGAACTTTTTTTCGCGCAAGAACCAAACAAAAAATGCTCTAGTATGTGTATTTGAACATGGGACACTCGAATATGCAATAAAATTCAGGTTGTTGAATGCTTTTCCCTATGCCTATAGGGATTCATGCGCTTTTTAGGCACTTGGTGGCAAAAAATGGCCGAAATCGTGGGCGCCGAACTTTTCTTCGCGCAAGAACCAAGCCGAAAAAGGCTCTTTCATGTGTATTTGAACATGGGCCATTCGAATTTTGCAATAACATTCATATTGTTGAATGCTTTTCCCTACGCCTATAGGGATTCATGCGCTTTCTAGGCACTTGGCGGCAAAAACGGCCGAAATCGTGGGCGCCGAACTTTTCTTCGCGCAAGAACCAAGCTGAAAAGGCTCTAGTATGTGTATTTGAACATGGGCCACTCGAATATGCAATAAAATTCAGGTTGTTGAATGCTTTTCCCTACGCCTATAGGGATTCACGCGCTTTCTAGGCAGTTGGCGGCAAAAACGGCCGAAATCGAGGGCGCCGAACTTTTCTTCCCGCAAGAACTAAGCCGAAAAGGCTCTAGTATATGTATTTGAATATGGGCCACTAGAATATGCAATAAAATTCAGGTTGTTGAATGCTTTTCCCTATGCCTATAGGGATTCACGCGCAATTTTTCTAGGCACTTGGCGGCAAAAACGGTCGAAATCGTAGGCGCCGAACTTTTTTTCGCGCAAGAACCAAACTAAAAATGCTCTAGTATGTGTATTTGAACATGGACCACTCGAATATGCAATAAAATTCAGGTTGTTGAATGCTTTTCCCTACGCCTATAGGGATTCATGCGCTTTCTAGGCACTTGGCGGAAAAAACGGCCGAAATCGTGGGCGCCGAACCTCTCTTCGCGCAAGAACCAAGCTGAAAATGCTCTAGTATGTGTATTTGAACATGGGCCACTTGAATATGCAATAAAATTCAGGTTGTTGAATGCTTTTCCCTATGCCTATAGGGATTTACGCGCTTTTTTTGGCACTTGGCGGCAAAAACGGCCGAAATCGTGGGCGCCGAACTTTTCTTCGCGCAAGAACCAAGCTGAAAATGCTCTAGTATGTGTATTTGAACATGGGCCACTCGAATATGCAATAAAATTCAGGTTGTTGGATGCTTTTCCCTACGCCTATAGGGATTCATGCGCTTTCTAGGCACTTGGCGGCAAAAACTGCGGAGATAACTCTAGTAACGGGAGCTAGACTACGGGCTAGGCACGTGTGCTCGTGTGATCTCTGCGTTCTCTGTTCCTTAGTCGTTTTCCTAGTGCACACACTGCTTGCTAGTTCACAAGGCAATTTGGCAAGAGTTTCACTAGAGAAAGTTGACAACAATGATCCAATGAAGTTGGCTAGGAAAGACTACATCAGAGCTAGGATGCAAGCAGGTCAACTGCCAGCGCAGCACGGTCGACCGCGTGCCAGCACGACTTGGTCGACCGCGCTCCAGCAGTGCAGAGACGCGGCTTGCCAACGCTGCAGGTCGACGGCGTGACAACAGCGCAAGTCGACGGCGTGCCAGCGTTGCTCCTGCAGTCCAGCATCGCACCCGCTTCGCAGGTGCTCGTAGGTGATTGGCGCGCACTCCTTCGTCACCTGCACAGTGCACACACCAAGTCCACCTCGTGCTGACGACTGCATCTGATGCACCACGTCGACCTCGGGATACCATCACCGAGGTCGTCCTCGCCAAAACCACCTGGGCGACCATCGCAAGCCTTCGCAGCACCTCGTCACCCAGGTAACCTGGTCGACCTTGCAACCAGGTCGACCAGAGGCTCCAGTGCGTGCCCGTCGACCACCCAAGTCGACGGCCACCTCCAGTCGACCTCCCCAGGTCGACCACTATCCCCTGGTTGACCAGCTGCAAGTCGACGTCCCAGGTCGACCAGAAGGGCTGGTCGACGTCCCAGGTCGACCAGCCGAAGTTGGCGCCCTCCCGACGTCGGCGCCCATGCAGTGGCTCCCCGTGCAGGTCGACCAACCTCGTCGACCAACTCGCCCACTGCTGCAGGTCGGCTGCACCCTACACCCGACCACGAAGTCGGCTCCGCCCAAGCGAGGACGGGGCCAACATACAACTCCTGTTGACACTCCCCTGCCGCGTTCACGCTTGGGCCCCCAGCCCACACGACAGTACTTCTCGGAGACAAGCTCGTCGACGTGCACCCAACACACAGCACGTCGTCCACCGCACCAGCCATGCAAGAGGGCATGGCACATTTTGCTGCACTTCGTCGACTTCGTCGCCCACGTCGGCCAAGCGCACCTGGCCGATGGCGACGGAGCACCGGTTGAAAGCCGGATAGTGCAGCGCCTTCGTGAGGAAGTCGGCCGGCTGCTCAGCGGTCGGGATGTACTGCAGCGCAAACTTCCCTCGCTTCACCATGTGCTGCAGCCAGGCCTGTCGCCGTTCCATGTGCTTGAGGTTGCCCGTCAACCCCATGCCTTCGGCGACTGTGATGGCCGACTTGTTGTCCACCCGAAGGACGGTCGGCTTCCCAGCATCCAGCTGCTGGAACTCTGCCAGGAGGAAGCGAAGTCGGCGTCCCTCCTTGCCGGCTTCGACAGCCGCCACGTACTCCGACTCGGTCGACGACAGCGTCGCGCACTTGATGCGCTGGCTCGACCAGGAGACCGCGGCCCCTCCGTAGACGAACACGTAGCCGCCCGTGCTCGTCCTGCTCTGCTTGTCACTGGCGTCGTCGGCGTCCACGTAGCCGACCAGCTCCAGCGACTCAGGTCCACCGCCAAACTCCAGGGCGGTGTCGCGCGTGTTGGCGAGGTAGGCGAGGCAGCGGTCGACCTCGCGCCAGTGCTGGTCGCTCCTCACTGTGAGGCCGCTCCCCAGCTTGCTGCAGGCGAAGGCGATGTCCGGCCTCGTCGTCGTCGCCGCGAACTGCAGCGAGCCGACCTTCTGCCGGTACTCCTCCTCCTGTCGCTCCTGCGCCTCCTCGTCGTCGAAGGTGAGCTCGGCGTAGGCGTCGACCGAGACCGGCGTCTTTGGAGTCCGTCCGCCCTGCTCCTCGTCGATGAAGCGCCTACGCAGCTTGTCGGCGTAGCCCTGCTGGTGCAGCCACAGCTTCCCCGCCGACCTGTCGCGCACGATCTCCAGCCCGAGGTACTTCTGCACCGGCGAGATCTCGCGCAGCTCAAAGGCGGCCTCCAGCAGCTCCTTCAGCTCCTTCAGCATCGCGGGGCTACTGCTGGCGGCAAGCAAGTCGTCGACGTAGACCAGCACCCAGCAAGTCGCTCCGTCGGCGCCGACCTTGAAGTAAAGGGCCTCGTCGACCTGGCTCTTCTTCCACCCAGCGTCGACCAGCACGTCGTTGAGCGCCAAGTACCACAGCAGCGACGACTGCTTCATGTCAAACATTATATATGTTGCGTTTGTTAGGCTACAGTGGGTTAGTCTATATGGGGTACACAATTCTAGGGTTTGCTATTTGTACTGATTTCTCTGTTAGTTCAATCATTCCAGTCCGTTCATTCTGACATGGTATCAGAGCAGGTCCTTCGCTAGGACCGTTCTTAGGGCCCACCGCTACCTACCTACCTACCTACCTACCTACCTGCGCCTTAGAGCGCCTCGGTTCTTACGGCCCCTTAAGGCCTCGCGCCCTCGTGCGCCTTTCCCCACCGCGCGCGCGCGATCCGCTAGCTACCCGCGCGCGGGTCCTTTTTTTTTAGCGCGCGCGGCTCTGTTTCTTGCGCGCGCGGCCCGCTAGTTGCGCGCGTGGCCCGCTAGTCGCCCGCACGCGGCCCGTCAGCTCTTCGCGCGGCCCGCTCGCGCGCACCCCGCCGTGGCCCCGCAGGCCCGCAGCTCGCTGCCGCCCGCCCGTCACCCGCGCGTACGCCACTGCCGCTGCCGCTGTCGTACGCTGCTGCCGCTGCTGCTTGCGCACCGCCCACTGTCGCTGCCGCTGCTGTGCCGCCGCCACTGCCGCCCGTGCGCCGCTGCCGCTGCTGCACGTGCGTTACTGCCGCTGCCGCCGCCGCTGCAGCTCCCGCCCGTGCGCTCGCTACCGCTACTCCCGCCGCCCGCTGCAGCTGCCGCCCGTGCGCTACCGCCGCTGCCGCCCGTGTGCTGCTACTGCGGCCGCCATTACCGCGCTCACTGCCGCTACTGCCCGTGCGCCAAAGCCGCTGCCGCCCGTGCGCCATTGCTGCTGCCGCCCGTGCGCCACTGCTGCTGCCGCCCGTACGCTACCACTCGTTTGCCGCTGCTGCCGGCCCCGTTGACACTGCCCACAGTCTCCCAGCGGCCTCGTTCCTACTGTTTACCTTATACCTACTACTACCGCTCGTGTGCCACTACGGACAGTCGACCCGCCCGCGCCTTGCCTAGCGGCCCCGCCGGCCCCGTTGACCCTCCGCACACCTTTCCAGCGGCCTGATTCCTACTGCTACTGTCACTATGGCTAGTCCGCCAGTTCTAGCTTTCGATGCCGAGGGCCGTCCAGTGAAGTTCGAAACCTGGCTCGATGACCTGCACCTGTTCCTACAGCTCACAGCCAAGGAAGATATCTCACTGTACGACCACGCCCTAGGCCATGCCACTGCCCCTGACTCGACTGCTGACAGCACTCTGCGTTCCCAGTGGCAGACCCGTGATGCGCACACTCGCTTTGCTATTCGCAACTCCCTGCCGCTAGACGAGCGCGAGCACTTCGGGCAGTGCAAGACTGCTAAGGACCTCTACACCGCTGTAGTTGCCCGCTACTCCTCACCCGCTTCTGCCACGTTAGGCCGCCTCACTCTCCCCTACCTGTTCCCCAACCTAGCCTCCTTTCACACTGTCGCAGACCTCATCACCCACCTTAAGACTAGTGAGGCCCGCTTTCGCGCTGCTATGCCTGCCGAGTTTCTCACTAGCAACCCCCCCCCCCGCTCTGGATCACTCTCTACCACATCGTCACCCGCCTCCCTGACTCTCTGCGCGCAGTCAGGGACCACTTCCTCTCTCGCTCCCCCACTGAGCTCACTGTTGCCCTCCTCGAGAAGGAACTGCTTGCAGCCGAGGCGAGCATAGTCGCTGTAGGCACCTCTCGTGGCGACCCCCGCACCCCGTTCTTTGAGGGGTGTTCCCCTTCCCCTCTCCTCCCCTCTGTCGCCTCTGCTGCTGCTGTCGACCTTCTTGGTGCTGAGAAGGTCGGGACCGCGTCTGCTTCGAGCGGGCGCCGCAGGAACAAGGGCGGCCGGGGTGGGGGTGGCGGCGGAGGAGGCGGGGGTGGAGGCGGTGGGAGTGGAGGCGCGGCTGGGGAGACTAGTGGCGGCAGTGGGGGAGGAGACAGCAGCGGTGGGAGTGGTGGTGGAGGCGGCAGCGGAGGCGGAGGTGGTCGTGGCGGCGGCAGGGGTGGAGGTGGCCGGGGCGGCGGCGGTGGGGGTGGTGGTCGTGGAGGCGCTGGCGGAGGGCAGAGTCAGCAGCCCGCCCCGACGCTTCAGGCCGCCCGTGAGTGGTATGCGCAGCGTAGCGTTACCTGCACGTACGTCATTCGCACAGGTGACCGCAGCGGCCAGCAGTGTGGGAGGCCGCACCCCACGCAGCGCTGCTTCGCGCGCCTTAACGACGCGTGGCGCACTCAGTTTCCTGCTGCCACTGAGCTGCCGCGCTGGGCTGATCTGGAAAAGAGGGGTGTTGATATTTGGGCTTTAGACTTTGATGCTATTCTCACTGCCATGTATGCGATGTCTATTAGTGGAGAGGGTGCTCAGTACTTGCGTGTTCCGCCCGACCCGGGCATTCAGGCCAGTCCGGCTGCCGCTCTAGGTGCTAGTGCGTCTGCTCCCACAGGTCCTGGTGAGGCCGCTGCTCTAGGTGCTCGTGCGTCCGTGCCCCCTGGTACTGAGTCGACTGCAGCACTGCACACCTTCACACTGGACTCAGGTGCTTCTCGCTCCTTCTTTCGTGACCGCACTGTCCTTGAGCCACTCGCTCGGCCAGTTGCTGTCTCCCTTGCTGACCCCTCTGGGGGTCCGGTCATTGCGACCTCCTCCACTGTCCTTCCTTGTCCGGCGGTCCCGTCCGGCACGCTGTCAGGTCTCTACCTCCCCTCGTTCTCTACGAACTTGGTGGCAGGTAGTGCGCTCCAGGACGGGGGTGTTCACCAGTTCACCCCTGCCTACGAGCGCGTGACACATTGCACGTGTGCTCGGACGGGTCGCCACCTGGCTACCTTCACTCGGGAGCCGGGGTCGGACCTTTACACACTGACCACTGTGTCCCCTCAGGTAGCTGCGTCTGCGTCTGCGTCTGCGTCAGGTCAGCTGTCCGCCCCCTGCTCGTGTCGCTCTCTGGCGCATGAGACGGTCCTTTGGCACCACCGCCTTGGTCACCCGTCTGTGCAGCGCCTTCGGGCCATGCACAAGCGGGACCTTGTTGCTGGTCTTCCCAGGGTGCTCCCTCCCCTTCCCGTCTCGCCTGCTCCTCCCTGTATTCCCTGTGTCGAGGGACGGCAGCGCGCCGCTCCTCACTCCTCCTCCTTTCCCCCGACGACTGCTCCCTTGCAGACGCTCCACATGGACGTGTGGGGCCCAGCCCGCGTCCGTGGTCAGGGTCAGGAGAGGTACTTCCTGATTGTTGTTGACGACTTCTCGCGCTACACCACGGTCTTCCCCTTGCGCGCCAAGGGTGACGTCCCTGATGTCTTGATCCCTTGGATCCGCAGATCTCGTCTCCAGCTCCGTGAGCGTTTCCGCTCCGACTTCCCTGTCCTGCGTCTGCACTCTGACAGAGGTGGGGAGTTCTCCTCTGGCCTATTGGAGGCCTTCTGTCAGCAGGAGGGCATTGAGCAGTCGTACACGCTTCCGGACTCTCCACAGCAGAATGGGGTTGCTGAGCGCCGCATTGGTCTGGTCATGGAGGTCGCCCGTACCTCCTTGAGCCATGCGGCTGCCCCCCATTTTCTGTGGCCGTTTGCAGTCCGATACGCTGCGCATCAGCTCAACCTCTGGCCCCGTGTCTCCTTGCCTGAGACTTCTCCGACACTGCGTTGGACGGGAGAGGCTGGCGATGCGTCGCGTTTTCGGGTCTGGGGATCCCGAGCTTTTGTCCGCGACACGTCCGCGGACAAGCTCTCCCGTCGCGCTGTCCCCTGCGTCTTCCTTGGCTTTGTCCCGGACGCCCCTGGTTGGCAGTTGGAGCTGCCTGGTGGAGCTGCTACTGGTGCTGAGGACTCGGACGTTGGAGCTGCTGCTGGAGCTGAGGACCCGGGCGGTGGCGCTGCTGCTGGTACTGAGGACTCGGACGGTGGAGCTGCTGCTGGACCTGAGGACCCGAGCGGTGGCGCTGCTGCTGCTGCTGAGGACCCGGGCGTTGGAGCTACTACTGGTGCTGAGGACCCGGCTGGTGGAGCTGCTGCTGGTGCTGTTGACCCGGCCGCTGGAGTCTCCTCTGCTTCTGGAGACGCTGCGCGGCCGCGACCGTACTTCGTACCGCTCCTTCAGCAGGTTCTTGGGCAGGCTCCTCCTCCTTGTCCTCCTCCCTCCGTAGAGTGTCCTCTGCCTGTCCAGTCGCAGTCACAGTTACCGCCTACCTCGCCTCTCCCTGCTCCCTCTCCTTACACTGGTCCCACAGGAGGTCTTACAGAGCGTCGTGAGCCTGAGTCTCGTCCTGCGTCGCCTGTTCGTCCTGCTCGCACTGGTAGTCGTGTCCGTCGTGAGCGTCCTCCTCCTGTCCCAGGCACTCACTACATGACTCTGCGTCCCTCTACTGCTCCTCAGCGTGTCCCTCTACCGTCTCCTCCCGCGTCTTCTTTGCCTCACGTTCCGGACCCTGAGTCTGACCGGTACCGTGCTGAGCACCCTACTGTCACGCGTCTCCTCGCTACTGTTGTCACTGACCCTACCTTTGAGTCCTCGACTGCGTCTGCTCTGGTCGCTGAGTTGGTTGACTTTGCTGCTACCTGTCGTCTAGACTACGCTGCTAGCCTTGTTGCTGAGTCTGAGTCTGTCTGTCTTCCGTCCGTCGGGGGTGCGTGTGCTCTTGGCACGGACGTCCTTGAGGACAGACAGGAGGAGTTCCAGTGTCTTGCTGCTGCTTTGCCCCGTCTCGTGTCCTTGCTAGTTGCCCCTGAGGGAGACCCGGATGCACCAGACATCCCGACCCCACGCACTTACGCTGAGGCGATGGCGGGTCCCTACTCCTCTCAGTGGCAGACAGCCATGGACGCCGAGATGGCTTCCTGGAAGTCCACACGCACCTACGTCGACGAGGTTCCCCCTCCTGGGGCGAACATCGTCAGTGGCATGTGGATTTTCAGGGTGAAGCGGCCGCCGGGTTCTCCGCCTGTCTTCAAGGCGCGTTACGTGGCTCGAGGCTTCAGTCAGCGAGAGGGAGTTGACTTTTTCCAGACCTTCTCCCCCACCCCGAAGATGACTACTCTTCGGGTGCTGCTGCACATAGCCGCTCACCGCGACTACGAGCTTCACTCACTTGACTTCAGCACTGCTTTCTTGCAGGGCAGCCTGCACGAGGAGATCTGGCTGCGCCGCCCACCTGGCTTCACTGGGTCGTTTCCTCCTGGTACCCAGTGGAGGCTTCAGCGGCCGGTCTACGGTCTCCGCCAGGCTCTGCGTGAGTGGCACGACACACTGAGGACTACACTTGCGGCTCTTGGGTTCGCGCCTTCTACAGCTGACCCGTCGCTGTTCCTGCGCACCGACACTTCGCTGCAGCCGTTCTACATCCTCGTGTACGTCGACGACTTGGTCTTTGCCACTGCTGACACTGCAGGACTCGCCTACGTGAAGTCGGAGCTGCAGAGGAGACACACGTGCACAGACCTGGGTGAGCTGACAAGCTATCTTGGCTTGCGGATCACCCGGGACAGAGCACGGCGCACCATCACCTTGACTCAGTCACACATGGTGCAGCAGGTTCTCCAGCGCTTTGGCTTCACGTACTCCTCGCCTCAGTCCACTCCTCTGCCTACCGGTCACTCGCTCTCAGCTCTGCCTTCGGATGAGTCCGTAGAGCCGAGTGGCCCGTATCCAGAGCTTGTGGGCTGCCTCATGTACCTGATGACCTGCACTCGACCTGACCTTGCATACCCTCTTAGCATCCTTGCACGCTATGTCGCTCCTGGCCGTCACAGGAAGGAGCACATGGATGCTGCTAAGAGGGTGTTGCGCTACTTGTGCAGTACGTCGGGCATGGGGCTTGTGCTTGGAGGGCGAGACCGAGTTGTGCTCACAGGGCACTCAGACGCTTCTTGGGCAGACGACCAGGCCACTCAGCGGTCGTCTCAGGGTTACACCTTCAGCCTTGGCTCTGGCTCAGTTTCTTGGCGCTCTACACGCTCTTCTTCTGTTCTCGGCTCCAGTTGCGAGGCTGAGATCTACGCTACAGCCATGGCTGCCCAGGAGCTACGCTGGCTGACCTACCTGCTGACTGACCTCGGAGAGCCGCCTCGTTCTCCTCCAGTACTGTACGTCGACAACAAGGCTGCCATTGCCTTGTGTGAGGAGCACAGACTGGAGCACAGAACGAAGCACATCGCCCTGCGGTACTTCCTTGCTCGAGAGCTGCAGCAGCGCGGTCAGCTTTGTATTCGCTACGTGGCCACTGAGGCCAACACTGCTGATGTGTTCACCAAGGCGCTTCAGCCTCGTGACCATCAGCGCTTCTGCACTCTACTAGGCCTTGTGCCTACTGGACCTCACTTGCTTACCTCTTGACTTTGCTTGTACTGTGATCACTATATATATCTATACCTGCATGTTTACTCTTGCTAGGTTGTGATCACTGTATCTCATGCTCTGTTATAAACCTGCATGTGAACTGGTCTTGTGACCACTAGCTTGTGCTCGGAATTTGTGTGGTATCCTTGAGATCCACCCTGAGCTTGTTGTTGCCTTGCTTTGCCTTGACTGGTCTTGTGACCCCTAGGTCTCCCCCACTTTGCCTATGGGGGTGTGTCAAACATTATATATGTTGCGTTTGTTAGGCTACAGTGGGTTAGTCTATATGGGGTACACAATTCTAGGGTTTGCTATTTGTACTGATTTCTCTGTTAGTTCAATCATTCCAGTCCGTTCATTCTGACACTTCAGCCCGTACAGGCTCTTCAGCAGCTTGCACACCCGGCCGGTTCCGTCGTTGAAGTAGTCTGGCTGCGACATGTACAGCACCCGGTCAAGCTTGCTCTGCAGGAAGGCGTTCTTCATGTCGAGCTGCATCAGGTTGAGGTTGAGCACGGCGACGATGCTGAGGAAGATCCTCAGCGTCACGTAGCTGCCCACCGGCGCGAACGTCTCGTCGTAGTCGGCGCCGTACACCTGCGTGAAGCCCTTCACGACCAGCCTCGCCTTCTCGCGCTCGACGGTGTCGTCGATGTGGTACTTCGTCGTCAGCACCCACCGGTTCTTCATCACGTTCACTCCCGGCGGGCGTTCGACCAGCTCCCACGTGCCCATGGCGAGGAGACTACGGATCTCTTCCTCCATGGCGGCCTTCACTGCTGGACCCTTCCAGCTCGCCAGCGCCTCCTTCACCGTCATCGTCGAGATGTCCCAGCGGTGCTCGGGGTCGGCCAGCATGTCGGGGTCGAGCTCCGGAAACTCCTCGTCCTCATCAGCGTCGTCGTACAGCAGGTCGTCGTCGTCCTCCACGTCGTACACTGTGGTGAAGGCAGCAGGAATGAAGAAATCAGGCGGCCTTCGAAGTCGACCAGACTTCCGGGGTTCAGGCGGAACCCCCACCTCGTCATGGTCGGTGGACTGGTCGGCCACCTCCTGGTCGACCAGCTCCTCATCGCCCAACTGCTCCCCTTCATCTGCACCGCCATCCTCGTCGTCCTGCTGCACTTCGGTCGGCGTCCCGACCGACTTCTCCCCTGCGGTCAGCTCCCCTGCCGACTGCCAGGTCGCCGACTGCTCCTTGGTCGGCCTCGCTGCTGCCTGCTCCCCTGTCGGCGTCACCCTAGTCGGCTGCACCTCCTCGACCGGCTCCCCCCTTATCCAAGTCGACTGCACTCCCAGGTCGACCTGCTGCTTTTTGACCTTCTGCTCGTCGACTTGCCGCTCGGCGTGTCGGCCACCGGCGATGCCCTTGGTCGGCGCCACAGGCGACGCCCCACTGCTCCCCTCATCGCCGGAGGCCGACGGCGGAGTCAGCCCACGCAGGTCGACGAGGGGAGGGGCAGGGGGGGTAGAGGAAGGGTGGACGACCTCGGCGTCGTCCTCAGCAAGCTCACCGACCTCGGCGAGTAGAGGGAGCGTTGCCGTCGAGGTATC